AGTATGTTACCTGATGTGCCTAAGTGGATGATGTTGGCAGCAGAAGTATGCTGCCTTATTAAGGGTAACATTTTAGCACAAAGAAATTAACTGAGCATTACATTTATACATGGTGGTCTTTGCTGTTTCATTTTAAAGATTCAGTTACTGAGCTAAAGATTAGCTAAATGTGTAGAGAAGAACTGTTTGTTCATGGACTCATCCTTCTCTGACAATGTCCCTCAATATGGGTAATTCACAACAGTGCTTCTCCAAGAGATTGCAATGCATTTGCCAATCCTGACACTTGAAATCCGTCGACCCAATATGCGTTTGGAAAGGGGAGACAGATGTTGCGCGTTGTGATTGGCCAACATGTTGCATATTCTTGGAGGTGCACTATTGTGAATCACCTGTATTGAAAGTAAAACTTGAAAGGTTTGCAGAGGTGTTTTGAATTGATGTGTGAAGCTGATGGTACATTTAAGATTCGGTGAATTTGCCTTAGGCTGTGGATTGTATGGGCATTCTTTTAGCGTAAAGCTTGTCAAATGGCAAACAGTCCTGTTGGCTTTGTGCTTGTGGCAAGCAATCAGCCTGAGTTGTATACACAAGTGTGTGAATTTCACGATGGCGGTATACACATGATATATACATCCAAGTTCCTTTACTTGGCCATTAACATGGATCACTGGGTAATCTCTATGCACACACAGAACCCACAGATTAGATATTATAGGGAACAAGGATTTCAAGGTTTCCCTCCATGCTGTGTGTTGACATTGTTAAAGCTCAAATATTTCTTTTCTTGTAGCTTCGCAAGCCTGGTCAATTTTTCCAACTGAAGCTCTTTTGAACTTTCATCCTTTGACATCATTTTTTTGTACATTGTAAGTTGATCTGCTTCAGTCATTGGCACAGGTTAATGCACCACAGTTGTCATTAACATGTAGATTTGGATGTGCAGTGATTATTAACCTTTGACACAAGGGTGTTGTCTTATTGTCAGCTTATTACCATTCCGTCAAGACAAATTAACGCCAGTCTAATGCTCCTGTTTTTTGCACTGCACTGTACTCCTGCTCAAACATGGTAATGTCAGAATGCTGCACGCAGTAGTCTTTATGCTTACAGTGCAATGTGGTGCACTGCCAACATTTTGCCTTTTCTGCAAGATTTCAGGTGAAAGATAAATGTACATGTTTGAAGGCATGGGGCTTTTGACATTGGCTGGGCTTATTGACAGGAAATGTTTTGCTGTGGAGGGGAGA